CATGGTCGAAACTCGGCGGAGCTCCGCCTCCTCTTCCAAGCGCTCCCTCCCTCCCACCACCTCCTCCTCCTCGTCCACTGCCTCCAAGCCCAAGCGCTCAAAGGTCCGATCTTTGGTTTTTTTTGGTAAGTTTTCTCGAATGCTAGGGTTTTGATCGGCTCCTTGTGTCGTTTTCAGCGTAAACAGCCTAAGGAAGACGAACGGGTGCCGGTTCAGTCCGATCGGACCGCCGCCTCGCCGACGGTGGAGCCCGAGAAGCTGCCGGAGGAGCGCGGTGACGTTGGATTAGCTCCTAAAGGTAGTTTCTTTTGGGGTATATGTCAAGAAAACCGCTGAAATTTGGGGAGATTTGCACAAAACGACCCTGGACTTTAAAAATTAAAGAAACCCCACTTAAATGTTGGGGAATTTCATAGAACGCCCTGAGCTCAAAAGTTATACGTGCATTTTTGGGCAAATTCCATTTCAGAGAAGAGAGGATACAGTGAAATTGGAAAAAAGTATTTGTTTTTAATCCTTTCGGATAGAAGGGAAGGGTAGAAGATCAAAAAATTGTATTTGAGAAATAGTTCGATGCCAAAAAAAAAGCAATGGTTCACAAGGAAATATGAGCACACTTTTACTTTCAAAATCTAAAAGGTGAAAATTTATAAGAGGGTTAATTGTTTTAAGAAAATGTTTTTTTTCAGTTTGTGAACTTTTTGCAAGTTCAGAGGATTTTATGAAACTCCCAAAGTTTAAAATTCCTGCCTATTTATGCAAAATTTCCTAAAGTTTCAGTGATTTTCTGAAAATTTACTCTTTATTTTATTTTTGGGAGTTCCTTAATTTTTGGTTTTTTTTTTGAATTTTGGGGTTACTGAAGGGTATACCGCAGATGAGGCTGATGAACTAGCAAATCGGTTGGCTCCGTTGAATCTTCCAGAGGTCCCATGGGCCAAGCTTTTCTCGCAGGTTCCTGAGGTGCATTCTTGTATTTTGATTTGGTTTTTTAGATTATTGTTTCGAAGATTCAGTGTTTGATTGTTTCTTTAGAAAAAGTAGTGTTTGTTCTTGCTCAGTCTCAATTACATTTTTGTTTACATTTGCAGTCTACTTTGAAGAGATAAAGGGATAACTTTATTGTGTGCGCACAAACAGTTTTTATTGTGTAAAGTACTTAATTTCCAACAACACCTAAGCTTATGTGATGGCAGAACTTTACTTGCATTTGCCCTGTACATGTAGAAGGCTTTGGAATGGCTGGACCTTTGAGTTGTTAATAAAGGCTAAAGCCATGGTTCCTTGTTGAAAAGTTGGATGGGTTGTTTTTACGTGAATTCAATTATCTCAATCTTTTGGTTTGGCCTATATATGCTGATTGTGCCAGTACATTGAATTTGTAAGAGTCTTCTTTATTAAGTCATCTGTAATGCTCTTTTTCCATTAATGAGTTACAAGTCTTTATGGACGTGCCATTGTTCTGCCCCTTTCTATCATAACATATATCATCCTCTCCCTCCCTCTACACCTGTATGTCTGTGTGTGTGATGGTACTCATTGCATGCATCAGTTTGTGCGCATGCAATGATACCTGCACAAACGATGTCAAGCATGAAGACCAACCACCAAATTGTCCTACGGAGATCAGATTGCGTGCATCAGTTTGGGCATATTCAGGATCAGATATCCAGTCAGTAGGAAAGCATGTCCCTGATCTGTTCACCCGAATGAATGTGGAGGTTTATTCCTTTCCAAGAGTTGTTTAATTTTGTGTTTTTCAGCATGTCTATAATCTGTTCAGGAAATCATGTATGTTGAGTATAGAACTTAGCTCATATTCATTCAGTTCATGTTCAAACCTTTTTGTTAATAAAAACTAAACTGGCACAGTGGAAACTTATGCATTTGCATGGTAAGTCATGGTCCTAGTGCTAGTAGCATTCAGCCAAGAAAAGTGATGCCAACGGGCACTTGAATGACATAAATATTACTTGAGAATACATTTCTGGGAGTCAGGTTAATCTTGGAGAACCAATACAGAGTATCAAACAATGTAAAAAAGGCTGTTTGGTGAGGCCCCCACCATTGTGGTGTCTGGAGAAAGTTAATATGTATGCAGCCGTAATCCCGCATGAGACTTGAATGCGTCACCTCCGGATCACGAGGCATCAACCTTATCAAACAAATTGGTTCCGTCAATTGCTTAGAATTAGCTTCAATTTTTTTGCAGTCACTCTTTTTTAATTTTTCTTTGTGTGAAGGTTGTATCTGCTGCTCAGACCTTGGATTTCCAAAACCAAGCCTCAATCCTTCATGTCTGGAGCTATGGCTCAAGGACTGCTTCATAGTGAATTACAATTCCAGAAGCATGCCTTTTGATTTGAAGGCGGTGGATACTGTTGATTGTAAGGACTAAACAAGAGGAGATTTGAAGTTTGAAGGACCAAGAAAAGGATTTAATAATATTATATTAGGGAAAATAAAAATGAAATCAATGATCAGCTCGACTTATTACATATAACAGTCATAGAATCAACCTTTACCTATCAAATATTTCAAAATTTTTTGTTTCCCCTTTGAAAGAAACATTTGGAGAGTAGTCCTATGACTTCGACGACCTTGATAATATTTTCTCTTCATACAATAACTATACTGTTAAAAGTGTCATGCAAGGGGTATTAAATGTCTTTCAGCATGTGGGAGCGGTACTGTAGTTTTGTTCCCTAGGAACACCAAACCCGATGCATAGAAACCCACACGCGTGTGAAAACATAAGCAATTGTACATTGCCATATACATACACTGTGCATTCATATAATTATGCACATATGTACACACATGGGTACATATAATACATGAATTTGATTACATATACATACGCAGTCGTGCATAAATATACATGCAGTATAAACTCACGCACTTATGCATGTATACATATATATGTATACACATACATATTTGTACATATAGGTAGACATGGTCATACTAGCCAATTGTACGTAATGCTTTAGGTGTTATCCGAATGAGTCTATTAATTTTTCATTTATATTGGTACGTATAGTCAGATAACTACTGGGGGTATAATCAGATAGTCACATTAGTCGTTCATCACACATGTTCTTGTGGTAGACCTGACTATCCTCCTAATGTGCTTTGACTGGGCCTTGCAGGTTTGCCTTAGTTAAGATCTTTACAGGTCACTTGGTCCATCATTCCATTTTGCAAAATGTTGATAATTGTCTCTAAATTCTGCATACCATTCACGTGGACTCCTATTTTTTGCATTAATAGATGCTTTGAGTATTTAATAGGTGAATACTATTTAAAAAATTAGATAGAGAATACAAGAACAGTGTGCACTGTTAGAATCTCTTATAAAATACTAAATAATGTTCTGTGTTTCGAAAGAGTTAATGTAAATGAGATTGACGATTAATGTTCATTGTTTGATAAATCATATATAAGCAATTAAAAGAGCACATGTACAACTTGTAGGGGTAAGCCTTCAGCATTTACTTGTAGCGAAGCTGGGGTTTCAAAGAAGAGTCGCTAACTTCCGTATATAATGTGAGGGATAATTATCAGAACAGGGTTTCAAAGCTAATTGGATAAACTTGCTCTGAAATTAAAGGAATAAATTAAAAATTTGGTACTTCCATGTCTTATGCAACGATGCTTTAATCAGATAACACTGGAATCTGGTGATAAGAGGTTTCTACAGTTTATATTTCAGCGGAATATGATAAATATTGTAACATGTGGAATACTTATATCCAGATGGTTGTCTAATATAAGGTGAGTAATATACGGTTGCAGTACACTTCCAGTCTTGTTCGATGCTTCCAAGTGTTTAACCTGGCACCCCTTAAATATATTTACTATATGGAGTATGTTTTGCCCCTTTAACAAAAGCTAATCATTTTGTGGATCATTTTATTAAAGTTGAGTTCTTCCTAACCCCATTCCTAACTCTAGACACTAACATGTTTGATATTTGGGTTTGCAGCATATGGATTAGCTGATTCACCTTGTAGTTTTCTTTTCTGTTGTGTTAATAATGCATTTGCTATTTTTTCCTTTTCCAGAAGCCTCACCTTCATATCTCTAGTTCTATTTTTACTGTCGGTCAAAGCCAAAATTGCAATTTATGGTTACAAGACCCATCTGTCAGCACTACTCTGTGCAAACTTAAGCGCGTAGAGGTACTTTTCTTAGTTGTCTGCTCTCTCTGGCTCCATAGATATTTATAACCATGTCTATGTTAATTTGTTTTATGTACGGCATTTTGTCAATGGTAGCATGAAGGTGCACCTGCTGCCTTGCTTGAGATCTCTGGGAGCAAAGGCGAGGTGTTAGTAAATGGAAAAACCTTGAGGAAAAATTCTAAATCCATCCTCTCTGGAGGGGATGAAGTCGTTTTTAGTTGCTCTGGGAAATATGCTTATGTATCCTTTCAGGTGTTCTTTTACCTATTTTAAAATCTGAATGATAACACAGTATAAAGCTGTTATAAGTCACTATTCGGATATCAAATTCCTTAATTTGTTGGCAGATTTTCCAGCAACTTAATAGTGACCGTGTAAGTATACCTCTCTTTCCAACTTCACTAGGCATTACAGATGTAATGAATGCCCCCAACCAAGGAGTCCAGTTTGGAAATCGTTCGGGGGATGCTTCGGCTTTTGATGGAGCATCAATACTGGCTTCACTATCAAGAAATGATGCATCTGTAGTTGCTTCTCCGACATCTACGGATGAGAGTGTTCAGCTAGTACTAGAAAGACCAACACTATCTGCTTGTGATGTATCAGGATGTACACCAATTATCGATACCAACTCCCACATTTTGAAGGACTGTTCTGAACTCAATGAGAATGCTGGGATTCCTTCTGCTAATAGCACTCCTGCTGCTGTATCTGTTGATTTTCCTTCTAATGATTCCTTTCACATTGGTATGAATGCTCATCTTGATACATATCTTGGAAAAACTTCTCCTGGGTTGGATTCATCGTGTGAATTAAGAACTAGGACCACTTCTAATGGGTGCATACAGGATCAGCTACTCCTGGGTTGGATTCACGTGGGAAAGTTCTCAAGACATTTGAAGATCCAAGGGTGCTTCTCAAGGATCTCCGTTCTCGAGCAACTTTGCCTACAAGTAAACACCAAGGCTTCAAGGATGGTCTGAAACAACAAATTCTCAATCTCAGTGATATTGAAGTGTCGTTGGAGTCTTTTCCGTACTATTTGAGGTGCAGTGTCCTTATGTTTTTACTTCAAGTTTTCTGTTTCTTATTTATCGCTAACTGATCATACTTCCTTACTGGTATTTGTACTCTGATGGCTTTGTCATGTATAACTATCATCTTTCGACCCTGATAGATATCAGTTTTTCAAAATTCCTTTTATGTATGTATAACTTTGCCCTTATATTATAGAAGGTGTTGTTTTCATTATATGGGTGTGTATGCATTTGCCTAGAATGAATCTTTCTTCCATGAGATCAATACTTGAGAAAGTTGAAAAATCTGCTCAATGTTATCAGTTATGACTATTTAATGCAGCTGCAATTTTTAATTGTTCATATTTTAAATAATTCCTAGCTTTCTTCAAGCATCATGTCAATAAACAGGAGGTTTGATCCATAAATTGTGGCACTGAATGTGCGACAACAATATTATTATTATTACTACTGATTGTTATTATTAATGATGATGATGGTAGGAACAATAATACATGTAACAACAGTGATGATAGTGATGACAACAATAGCAAAAACATGATAACAACATCAATACAATTAATTAAAACCTAAGTAGAAAGAAATGTCTAAAGTGAAAGCAATCTGTTCACGGTCCACTTAAATTATATCAATCATGAATTCGCTCTGATGTCATCAAATGACACTTTGTGTGGGTACATCAAAATTTGTGAGAACGTACATGGAACAATAACAAATATAGGAAGAACTGTAATATTGATCTTCATAGGGTATCCTCATTCAAAAAAATTTCTTCTGATACATAAGAGTAATATTTTAGGCAGGATGGTGCAGCCGTGCAGGAAATCTTTATTACGGTCTAAATAAGAATTAGCTGAACTCAAATAGAGTACTTATGAGTTCTGAGGATATACACTTCAAATAGGTGTCGATGCCTAATTGCCTATATACATAATATACCAGTTACCAGAATCTGATTATTAAGTTATTACTAGTTTAAATAAACTATCTGGGATAATGCAAAGGCAGATGAATATATGGAGAAGATCTTTTAGAGTTCTCCATGAGTGTTATGCCATTTGACAAGACTAAAAGAACATGACATAAGACTCACATGTTTATGAGGTCTTAACTATTGGGCAAGTTATGATAGAGGGTCCAAACACCTACTCCTAAGAGAGAGTACGAGCGTTTGCATGCTTTGTTTGTAAACTGGCATGCGGTTTCAAGATTTTACTAAAAAGATATAAAACCCTCACATAGTTATGAGGTCTTAATGACAGAGGGGCCAAGCACATGATAGCAGGAACTATTTGCATGGATTACTTTGATAAATTTGTATTATCAATTATCAAAGGGGTACACGTGCAATCTTTGTTAATTAGTTGCTCTTGCTCAACCAAGCATGATAATTTTTATTGTATGATAATATTAGAAGGCTCACGTGGAAGGAGATCTAGAATATGGCCAGAATTTGCGGGAAAATCTGAAAAAGAAAATATCTGTAAGGCACCACACAGCAGTGGTTTCTTCACATAATGATTGAAAAAAGACTCATGCAGCTGATGACAAATGTTAGTAATAATTCTACATTCTGATACAGTAATATCCTTTTCCATTCACTTTTCATCTTACGAATTGGTTGAACATTTTCTTTTTTTGGATTTTTATATATCGAGTAAAATGTTGCCCTTGAGTCATAGTAGTCATAGTAGTCTGGAGACAGAAGGGTTGAACAATAAATATCTTTCTTCTAATACATGATTATGCATGACCGGATTACATAAAACAGAATGGTTCATTGAGTGAATGTTATAGCTTGGAATTAGACTGACATGTGCACAACGGTTACATAAATTAGTTTTTAAAACATGCAGGTCAACAAACTATTTTATTTATTCATTTCTTCTGTTGGATTATGTTTTGTCTATTTATTTAACGATGAGAGCTTAGCATGTCACTGCTCAGTTGTGCTCGTTCCAGAACCTTGGTCATTGTCACAGAAAAAAATTGAGTGCAAACGTCAAGTCATACGTCATCCATTAGCTGGGTTACAAGGGGATAATTATGCTTTTGGGAAAACAATGGCTTAAGGCATTCACTACTGCTTTGAGCTTGTTCATATACTACATTGGATGATGAAGAAGTGTATAGTTCTTCTTATCTGCAGTCACCATACTGTGGAGAATTCTGTGGTACAAAAATATTAACAACACAAGTATTCACATCCCTTAGATGGGCATGCACATATGATTTGATATGTGCATGCAGGATGCCTGTTTTCATAGTGAATATTATTTTTAGTCAGATTTTAACCCTTAGTAACATAGTGAATATTATTTTTAGTCAGATTTTAACCCTTAGTAATTTGGGTGTTTTTTTCTCCCTCTGAGATATTTGTATCGTTTACAGTGAATATACAAAAAGTATGCTGTTATCATGTGCATATATTCACTTCAAGTGCAAGGAATTCATAAAGTATACTTCCAACGTATCATCAGTGAACAATAGAATACTGTTGTCTGGTCCAGCAGGTGCAAAATCACTTCCTTATCTATACTTCCGGTTAATCTAAATATAATTTTGACTGTCTTAACAAGTAATCTCTGTATTTTTCTAGGGTCCGAGATCTATCAGGAAACATTGGCAAAGGCTCTTGCCAAGCACTTCGAAGCCAGATTGCTAATAATAGATTCGTTTGTTCTACTGGGTGTAAGTTCCACTAAAAATTGACCCAATTAATTGGGAGATAGACTAAGATCCTTCTACAGATAGATGAAAGTTTTGGCAAAATTGATTCCAGGTCCAATCTTTGAAGGATTTAGAATCACTAAAAGCTGGTAAGACTGAGAAAATCAGCATATTTTCTAAGCAAAGATCCCCTGTGGTTGCTACCTCACATTTCAGAAAACTAGCTTCAAACGTGGAGGCTGGCATTTTGGAAGGAACATCAGTATGTAATGGCCAAAGTTTCCCAAAGCAGGAGCCATCAACATCATTGAAGAGCTACACATTTAAAGAAGGCATGCTATATCTAACTGTTATAAGCTTGATATATTGTATGAGTTTTTTCCCCTCCTAAGGTTTCGTTCTATCTTGTTTTGGTAACTGTAGTATCATGTTCTTCAGGTGACAGAGTAAGATATGTGGGTTTTTCCACACTTTTTTTTGGGTTCTCTCTTCAAACTCAGAGGTATATTTCAACTTTTGTCATCTTTGCGCACAGTTTATGCCTGGTTGGGACTGGTCCAGTTTTAGTTGGGCCTCGGTGTTCTACTGTAAATCATTACAAACAGAACGAACAGGAATAGAACATCTTCACTTTGAGAATTAAACATATTGACAACCGATCATCCTTTGGAGAGACATGGTAGAACATAGAAAAGAATCTATCTTCAATTCGAAACAATTGTAGATGAAACTAATAGGACATCCGTTTGGCGTATATCAGTTGGGCAAAATAACTTCGTATATGCATGGTTTAAAATATCCCCGATATATATGACATATTGATTGATATATCCTTTTATAAGGCTTGCGGCAAAGGGATGTGATCTCAATATCCTTTATTGCTCTTTGGCAAAATTTTAGCTATCAATCATGAATTTCCTGATATATTAGGCAGCATTTCGTCTTTAAAAAATTGGTTGAAATGTTTCAATGTCGACTTAGACTTTTATTTGTGTTAAAAGATTGTTTTGATTGTGTTAAAAGATTGTTTTATTTGTGTTAAAAGTTGAGGTCTAAACCCAAACAAATGTCTGTTTAATAACCGTGAAGAAGAATTATAGCTCAATTTTGAGATACCACCTTTCTCCACAACTCCGTTCTTTGGTGCACCAAGTATTGACTTCTATGATATGTGTATACATATTATCCAATATGACATCCGATATTTATTAAATATCTCCGATATATCCCTGATATCTTGCATTTGATATGGACAAAAAAAATTTCGTGTAGCCAACCTCAAGTTGCTGTTGTTTTTTGTGATCTTTCATTAGCTGCAGGTCATAGTTGTGTTTGAAAGAGAGCGTCTGCATCAATTTTCATTCGTATGCATTTGCAAAGGAACACAGAATCTAAAAAGGACGATTGAGAAGTTTCAGCTTGACATCAAATAAATAATAAAAACAACAATTAGTGGATGTATGGCATAAAATTGCGCGATAAGAGAAAAACGTATTAGATAGTTTTCAAGCATTATTTATCAAACAAGCATTTGAGCAAAACTTTAACTCATACTTAAGATGTAAAACTTTTCTGTTTCTTTTATTCTCTTATTTTTATTTTTGTCTTGCTGACGGCGGAGAATTGCTTTACTTAGTCGTCAACAAGTGTAAAACTTGGACCTCCCTGAAGTGAGTTCTAAAGAGATATATTGGTGTGTACACACTTTGCACGTTTTGGCCATTCAACTCTAGAGCAAAGATAAGAAAGGTTGACTAATTGGAGTTTAGGTGCACTTTATAAGTAAGGTGATAGAATTGGTAGACAATGTTTAGAAGAGTAGTACAATTTGTTTGCAGGAAATTATATGGGTTGGGATATTTTTTATAGAAATGAGAGGAACAGAAATATGATGGAGATGGTTAGATAAAACATTAAAATGGGAAGGTGACACTATACTATAGTCATATTATGAGAAAGGTAGTTAATATTATTAGTTACTAACTTCATATTCGCCACATAGGATTGTCTTGAGAACATAAAAGGGAGTCTTAAGGTCACACGGATGGATTGGCACGTGGGTTTCTGGAAGGAGAATTATTGCTCGTAGGGACCTAATTAGTCGTGCAGGGGTGTATATGGAAGGGCACATGTTGTGGTATATGGGAGATATGATTTTGTTTTTTTTTGTAGTCTCATATGACCTTATAAGAGTAATCTCAAGTTTATAAAGTCGAACGAACTTCTAACATCCATCAGGAATCAAATGGACTGAAAATTTGCCCTCTTCTCCAGCGTATCCAAACAAAAAGCATAGGAGCTCTAAAAATTTTACTGCCTAAGTACCTGGACACTTCATTTTGGATGCCGCACCGTATCTGTGTCAGACACGTGTTGTACACGGATTCACTGCAAACATGCCATGGACACATATTGTTAAAAGCAAAACCAGAGTTCTCCATTACCTATAACCCTAAACTAGTTTGTTGGATGTATCAAGCTCAAAACCAATAGTGTTTTGAACCCGAAAACCGAAACCATTACTTAAGGGTGTGTTTGGTAATCAATGTGTTTTTTTTGTTATGTTTTTGTAAAAAATACTATGTCATGGTGTTTCTTTTTCAAATGTGTTTTAAAAATACCATTTTGGTCAAACGTAGTTGTTGACGCATAATTATAATAGCGCACGTGGGGGCAGGGCGCCGACGCCAATCAGCAGATAGGTGGCGGCGTCCGCCGGCGGCCAGGCCAACAGGCGAGAGCGGTCGAAACGATGACTATCCCGCTACCAGAACGGGTAGGCGACGAGTGGCCCGGGCGGCCGTCGACGGGTGGGCCGGCCGGCGGATGGCGCACGAGGCTTTTGGATGGACCGGTGGTAAGGCCGAAGGATGGACGGCGGCGGGAGCCGACGGATCTGGGCTGGGCGGTGAGCGGCGGCGGGTAGAGGGTAGCCCCGGCCACAGGGCGGACGGCCCGACGGGGTGGCGAGTGCAGAGCGGGCGCGCGGCGGCGGTGGGAGGGTGGTCGGCATGCCGGCCGAGGGCGGCGACGGCAGGGTAGGCCGGCCGTATCGGCGGACGGGGTGCGCAGGCCGCAGCGGCAGGCTAGCGGAGCTGGCGCTTAAGATGAAAAAACAGAATCTTAAAACACATTTTTGGTGTTTTGAGAAAAGTGTTTAATTTTTAGATTTTGTAAAGGGATAAGTCAGAAAAACGTCTCGGTTGCCAAAAGAGTTTCTTTGTTTTTGTTGAAAAAAAAACTGAAACGACAAAAACGCCACAGTTGCCAAACGCTCCCAAAGATTCGAAAAGTACCCACCGTATCCCATGCGATCAAAATTGAACTTTTGTTGTTAAACCTTAACTCTTAGTTTGATTTAACTTGATTCTTAATTGCTATAGATAGTAAAAAAAGCATAAAAATATTATGGGTAATTAAATATTTGATCTGATGTAAATATATGTGTGTGTATCCGTGTCCCTGTATCATTCCTTTCACAAATTTGCCATGTCTTGTGTCCGTATCCGTGTCGACACCCGCACCCATATCTGTGCAACAGGAAAAAGGGGGATATTATTCCCTTTTTCCTGTTAAATGACCTACTTTTTTAGGGTTTTTTAGATTCATTCCCCCCATCTTTCATATTTTGGAAAATGCCCCTTCTACCATTAAAAATCAAATGAAATTAATAGGAGAGGCAAATATTTCAAGATCCCTATGTTTTGGGGCTGGATTCTACATATGATGGTTTGAGGTGCATCTTTCTAAATGTGAGAGACTTTAAGGAGATATAGGAGCCTTCTGTAAGTATGATTCACTTTTCACTGCTTCATTTATTTTGCATTAAATTGTTGTGAATCCTTCTTCCTTAAAATTGATGTGAACCCGTACAGGAAAAATTAATTTCCGCATTTGTCTAGTATCATTACTTGTCCCATAGAATGGTGTCTGGCTGCTTGCTGTTTATGTGGACCTTGGTTGCATAAAACATAGAGTACTTACCTCTCAAGGTTTACACATGGCTTCTATGATGGCCCATCCTCTGATGCATTCTTGTTTTGCTATGAGAATTCTCATAGAGGGTTAATATCAGTTGACATTGTGCGCAGCTTTATCAAAAGTTCAGCTATGCTCAACATCCTGCTAGTTTATTCAGATAATGCTGGGATGATGGTGATCATTGTTTCATACATGGAATTTTTCATGGTGAAAATAGGTGTGGGTTTTAGGAAGTCATAGTGTGTGCTGTGACTATGGGTTTCCAAAATAACAAAATCGGATGAAACCTTCTCAAATTTCAAAAATTTCTTTTCAATGTAGGA